GCTTGAAACCATGAGTTACGAGATCGGCAGGAAGGGGGACCCACATGTTCTGTTGACGCGAATGAATACAATATCACAACAACGGGACAACGGATATCACGTGAGGATGGACTGACACAAGCTGGTCTGATGACATGACGGACGCGTCTTTTTTCCCCTTAAACTTTGACTCTATCCCGTAGCGCACAGTCGCCGATGCCATCTCAGTATTGCTCGACTAGCCCCTCTGTGGAGCAAGCAAAACAGCTCTTACTCAAGGCTGTACTCAAACATTCCTTGTTAATGTGGGCTCGAATATCACCGAGGCCACGAATTTTTCGCAATTGGGTCAACTGAATTATTCAAATCTGCTACCTTCTCCTAATAAAACACCTGTTAGTCATATCCTAATCCCAGACCGTGTATCCGAGTGTAGACAGAACTGCAATGCTTTTCAGTCTTTGAGGCTTATACTCAGACAACCTCACCGGTCTCATGCATCCCTGCATACTTCTGGACTTACGAGGACTCATCGCAGCCTGACGCACGCATTCCATGATTCAATGCTAACCCGGTTTGAGTCAGCTTGCCAGGTAGTGTCCTGGGGGGGGACTCCATGTCTTTTATATATGCCTCAATCATTGCTACTGTATTTTATTTCAGTAGAGTGTGTGTTTACGACGAATTTCACCCCTTTCCTCCAGGTACACCCCTGCGATATCCTTCGCATTCCATTCCAGTGGAGGGCATGATAGATCACGTTAACCTCCTGAAAAAAGATAATAGTCGCTTAATGGCCAGCGAATTCGAATCCATAGATCCGGGTGGTCAATTTACCTGGGAAGTATCCAGTCGTCCGGAAAATCGATCGAAGAATCGTTACGCCAATGTGGTGGCCTATGACCATTCACGCATAGTCCTGCAGAAGATTGATGGCATCTCGGACAGTGACTACATCAACGCGAATTATTTAGACGGATACCACAGAAAGAACATGTACATCGCCACACAGGTGAGAAGCATGCGATTTTGAATTAGCTTTTTCATTGAAACTTAACGGTAGTAGTAGTATAATCTGCATTATCTGCGTGTGGTATTTGGCAGCCTAAAGCTGGCAGGTTTTATTATTAAGCTGGCAAAATGCAAACTCCAAAGAGACAAGGTCAAATTTTTAGGGCATGTCGTTTCCGCATCCGGGAGTGAGATCGATAAGGATATGGCCACAGGAGTCCGTAAGTGGCCAGCACCAAGTAATGTGACTGAGGTCAGATACCAATGAGGATGATACCAATATAGCCACACTAACAAACAAGCTCAGCCGAAAGGGGAGTGAGGATAATGTAGATCACGCCATCGTGGTGGCCTGCATTGGGTGGGGGCGGCCTTGCGCCCTAACCTTCTTGGTCTTTCTGACTCTGTCTTGACACCGGCTGCAGGTGCGTGAGGGTAGGTAGTATGGTAGATCCAGCGCAAACGTCTACTATCAGTTAAAACTAAATCACGGGGTGTTCTGGCCCAGCATTGGGGAAAGCGGCCAAAGTTGGATCCCGTTCGCTCATTTT